ATTCATACATCATGTACGTGTTAAAAGAAAAAATAAATAAGAGGTTGCCACAAAAAGTGGACCACCCTAATTCAATGCCTTAAAGTAGACTTCAAATTCATCATTTAATAATTAATAAATTAATAATTAATAATTAATAATTAATAATAAATAATAAATAATATGGGGTTCCATTAGGAGTAACTACTAACTAAGTTAGGTCCAAAAAAGTTATTTTTGTGGTCCCAAATTATTTTCTAACCATTATATTTTACGCTTTCTTTTAAAATTAAATATTTTAAATAAAAATAAATCGATGAAAATGTTCATATTTCATATTTCAAAATATCAAAATTTATAAAAAATGTCATTTGCAATATGAAAATAAAAATAATATTAAATAAATCATTTAGATCGCTAAATAAAAATTAATCCAAGCGTTATAAATTAAAACAAGTTTAATTGTTTAAAAACATTTAGTTTTTGCTTGATGCTGATTTCTTCATACCACCAAATTTAATCATTCACCGTAACGACCCAACTTGGGACAAATCCTTCAAAATGTATAAGATTTTTATTTTTTTTAGTTTTAGGTTAATGAATAAATTATTAATACATTAATGTTAAATGTTTAATTCCATATATATTATCCGGTTCGATTTAGGTACCACAGGTAATTATTATACAAAATCGAAATTGATGTGTGAATGCCTGATTTTTTCTGTTTCAAATCAAACAATTCGGTTCATCTTCTCGGTTTTTTTTAATCCTTACATCTGAAGAGCAGTTCCAAAAGCCCTAACTTTATGGAAATGATCGATGTTTGTACAACCAATGCATTCCAATATTTGTACAACCAATGCATTCCAATATATTGAGATATTTATGGAAATGATGAGAGTTTATTTATTATGATTTGAATATTTATGGAAGATTAATATGGTTCATTAATTATGATCGATACATTATATTAGGAAACAATAAAAACTTCTATGAAATCACATATTAATCAAATGAAATGGACGGTTGAGATTGGGTTGTGTTAGTTGCACAAATGTCAAGGGTTGTATAATAATCAACCTCTCTCTCTCTCTCTCTCTCTCTCTATATATATATATATATGAACGATCAAATGTAAACCACCCAATTTATTATTTGTACAAATCGTGCAAACCACCATTATCCGTCGATTTCATTGTTTAATCTTATGAAATTTTTTCATGAAATTGTTTAATCTTGTGAAATTGTTTCATATAATACTTTTTTTTGATGAAGTTGTTTTTTAATCTCCACAATAACAATTATTAATCAACCTCTCATAATTACAAAAAAATGAACAAAATGAAAAATTATAATTGGTTGAATAAGATTTGTACGGTTTGTACAAATAACGAGATTTGCAAAGTAAACCTCCTCTATATATGTATGTATATGTATATATGTATATATATATATACATATATCTATATATGTAGAGGTTGATTATTATACAACCCTTGACATTTGTGCAACCAATACAACCCAATCTCAACCGTCCATTTCATTTGATTAATATGTGATTTCATAGAAGTTCTGATTATTTCTTAATATAAAGTATTGATCATAATTAATGAACCATATTCATCTTCCATATATATTCAAATCATAATAAATGAACTCTCATCATTTCCATAAATATATCAATTTATTGGGTTGCATTGGTTGTACAAATGCGACGGGTTCTATTTGAAACAAACTCTATATATGTATGTATGTATATGTATATATATGTAGTATGTATATATATAGGTCCATTCAAAGGAGAACTGATTAGTTTGTGGTAATTGTGAGATCCGATGTGAACCACTCGTTTGAGATATTTAAGGATATTTTTTTTAAATAAGTTAAAAGGGTAATATAGTAATTTTATTTTTAACAACTAATCAAAATATTTAATTAAATTTTTTAGAAAGAAATATTTAATTAAAATTAGTTACCTAGTATATCAATTATCTAATATACATCGTATTTTAAAGACGTTTGTGAATCMAAGTGTATCATAATGATAACGTTCACAATGTTTCACATGTATCACAATGTATTTTCTTTGTTTTATGAAATGTATCAGAGTGTGCATTTTTGTTACTTTACAAAGGGTATCACATTGTGCATCTTGTATGTATATCTGGATATCCCAGTAAATATCGTTTGTTTATATCACAGTGTGTATCTTGTGTTCACATAAGTTTCATCGGAATGAGATTTGCCGGAGAGAGGAAAGAGGAGAAATGAAAGAGGATATTCATAAAATCCCTAAAATGTCATTTATTAATATTTTAAGTTAAAATTACCAAAGTTATTAATTTCATAATTTAACATTTGATTTGTGGTTGAGATTGGATCTCATGATTACCACCAACAAAACAGTTCTCATTTGATTAGGCACACACACACACACACACACACACACACACACACACATATAT